CGAAGGCATGTTGCCCTTTAATGCAGGTCTAATTACATTAAAACAAAACGCTTTCGTGAACATGGAGAAAGGCTGGGGAGAGAATCAGACAAGCTATAAATTAAAGCAGAGGATATGAATACCATGCAAGCTGCAGTGTTAGGGTTAACGTGGGTCTGGAAACAGTTTAGAGAAAACCTGGCGTGGCTAGGGGCCAGCTCCAAGTTTAGTTGCTTTGGGCTAATCGTTTCCTTCAGGCAGGCTACTCTAGCACACTAATAGGTTTTAATAAAAACTTCCAATTGGGCCAGTAAACCCCTCATTAAGCTGTTTTTAAAGCATGAATTTAAGAGCGGCGAGGGTAAAAGGTCATGAGGAGTATTTAATTCACAACGGCTGGCAAAAGGTGCTGTTGTGATTGAAAACACCAGAGTTCAAGTGTCCAGGGCCACATAAACATCCGACTCTGTCACTAGACCTGGTTAAGTGACAGCTTGAAAAATAGATTTAATAAGACGGAGAGAAAAGTTTCCCACTCTTACACGAGAAATAGGAACAGCAGATCACAATATTAGCCAGGAACAGTCAGTAAGCAGCCCCGTCCCTCCCATCCCGGCACGGGGGGAGGACGAATAAATAGCAGCCTGTGGCCATCTGGGTGTTCAACCCCGCAGCGATTCCCAGGGGCTCGCTGGGACGCTCGCGCCACAGCTCCGTGGTCTCCTGCTGGGAACAGAACACAGTTCTCCGGCAATAGCACAGGCCAACCCATCCTCCACGTCCTGCTGCCAGTGTCTCTCCCACGTGCCATCTGTACAGCGAGCGACCGGAGCAGCAAGTGCATGAGACTTGCGTGCTGCCACGCGAGAAACCAAACCTCTGCCAGTGAATCCTCTTGCACTGGGACAACCTCCCACCCACCGCGCCGACACTGCAGATGGGTCTGCAGGAATCCACGGGTCAGCCCTGGGCACAGTTCAGCCCAGACACATCCCCCTCTCGCTACACTTTCAAACTAAGCTTTGGATCTGCACCAGTGAAGTTTGACCTCAGTCATTTCAACTTACTCTCACTTTCTCCCGTGATCGCAGCGCTGCTCACTAGCGTAGCGCAACTAACATGAAAACTTCACCCCTTCCTTGGAAACACGCACTCACAAAGGAGAAACCTCTCAATCTTGTACAGCAAAAGCCAGAACCCCAGCTGTGCACTCTAACATTTAATTTTATGTCAATGCACATCTAAAATTCAGGATCCCTGAAGACCTTTTAAAAGAAAATCCTCCTTGGAACAATTTGCATTGAAGTAAAGAGTGAGGATTTAACAAGTAATGGAGAATTACGTACACTCGGCTCTCAACTTTTTATTCTACTTCTAATCAAAACACACTTCATCTTAAATTCTGAGATAATAGATGCAATATAAAATTTGGAGGCAGGCATGCATATGAACGAAATTATTTGCTTATTCCATGTTTACAAATAATGGAAAAAAACCCTAGGAGCTTAATTCAACCTTCAGTGATTGTCTTCTCTCCATACTAAAATTAACAAGAAAGTTTACTGGAAGAAGGAAAAAAAAAAAGCTCTTTTAAAATACGCTTCTAATTCTAGCCATACAGTTGGCCTGCAAAGAGTGCAGAAGCCAGGAATGATCTCTGGAAGGATCCCCAAGGAAATATTTGATTTGGCTCCGAATAGGACGCTTTTGTGCATCAAGACTCAAATAAGATCAGCTGCTTCTCAATCCTTTCTCTTTAATGATCCCATTGATAGCCAAAAGGTAAACAGATGCATTTCTGTCTGTTCTGCATGTTCCTTGCTGGGAATCCAGATTGCTGCTCCAAGAGGTATCAAACAGCCATGGAGGTGACGATGTCGAGTCCGAATCTCCCCGGACAGTTACATCATTTTCCCACACCACACCTGGATTTTTGCTCACCAGAGAGACGTGACTGTCCATTCCAATTCATGCAATCTTCGCAGCTTTTCTGCAGCTCTGCTTAGCTCCCCGCTAGTATCTCATTTGACCAATATCTCAGGACAGACTTACGGCCATCGAACTGTCTTCTGGGGCTACTTAACACAATAATAAGGCAGAATAGAAGAGAGAGGACAAGAAAGCCTATAAAAGAGCATCATCTTTTTCAAGGCCTCTGTTAGGATAGAGATAAGAAATCACTAGAGTAAAGCAGGCTTCCACTGGAAAAAAACCCACATCCTTGGGGGTATCTCAGACAGAAGCATCATCAGGAACTACTGCTCCAGGTGAGCGCACCCTTGCTTAGAAAGGGTCCGAAACAGCAAAGCTGTCGACACCACAAATCCGTTGAAGCAGCTTTGGTCTCATTCTAAGTCAGGAGAAAAGATGTCCTTCTTTTTAAAGAGGGATAAAATAACAAGCTGACCTTGCTTGTAGTCCCAGCACCACAGCTGCAACCTTCAGAGAGAGGGAGGCCTGCTGTTCCTGGAGCAGAGCCAGGACCAAAGGTGCTGAGTGAGGCCTGCCGGCTTGTGGTGGCGCACACAGGTCACCAAGGCACCTAGAAAGGGGCTTGAGCAGAAAAGGCCATGGAGGAAAGCCCTGGGTACACCAAAGCTCGAGAAGGAGACTTAGACTGAGGATGAAGTTATCATGAAACCTCAGCTCTTCAGGAGCAGCCTGGCTGATGGCCCCGCAGGTGTGCTCCACCGAGCACAGGCAGCACATCCATCCATCCATCCATCCATCCATTCCCGAGACTCCCAGCAGCCTTAGCTCAGCTAGGAAGACCCAAAGCAATCCAGCATGCTCCCGCCATGAGCCGTCCCACCAGAGCACAGCCCACGCTCGGCAACCGCAGCACTCCACCGCCAAAAGCAGGGAGGAAAAGGGACCATCAAGTCGGGCGCTCCCGGAGCCTCGCACGCCTGAGCTGTGCCTATCCACGGGGAGGGACCCGATGTAAAGCCACCGCACGCCCGCTGAAACACGCCGTGTTTCACTCAAAGCCCAATGCATACCCGAATAACAATAAATAAAGCCAAGAAGTTATTACAGCTCGGCTGATTTCAGAACCGCGCTAACCCCCAGGCTGGTGCTGGCCCCAGGATTTGCATTGCAGAGCACCTCTTCACCTTTCAAAGATAAATAGTCCAACACTGCCGGTGCTTTGCACTGTGAAAGCTCTTGCACGGCTGTTTCACAGTTCATTCCCTGAAGTGAGGAGTGTTTTTAATAACTGTTACCTGACAGGAGTAAGAGCAAAGAGCAAAACCTGTGGCAATACCAGTTGATCCCATTTGGCCTAACAGCTTGTTGTTATTTCCAGACTCTGGAGTTCTTTAAAATTCATAGGGACAGCCTGCAGTTTTAATAGAGGCTACCAAAATCCATCCTAAGATGTATCAAAAAAAAGCACACTTCCTGGAGGGGAATAGGAAACAGCATTTACAAAGGTCTCTCCAGGAATTTTTTTAATTTTTTTTTTCTTTTTCTTTAAGATCTTGCTTTGAAGTAGATGCTACCAAAGAATAAGGCTTCCACAGCTCAGCAATATTTAATGTACTTCTACAGCAATGGATGACAATGTTGTTGTTTCAGCTATATTATAACAAAAATATTGTGGTTTTCCTGTATTCTAACAAAAGTAAGTCAAGATTTACATCTCATTCATCTTATTCAGAAGTAGCCCTTAAGCCAAAAACAAGGAAGGGAGAGACCCTACTGCGTACAAAGGACTTCAGTAATGCTCATAGGGTGGCTATCCAGTTGGGACATAAAGAAAGGCCAAAGAAAGATAAAACACTGCTTGCGAAAAGCAGTTTTTCTACAACCATCAGTGAGAGTGGGAAACGTGTACAGAAGATGAGAAACTTCAGTTAAAACCAAGATGAGTGTCCTCACTATCCCAAAGGTCTGGATTCACATTGTAAAGTCCAGCTGGCGAAAATATCCACATCCAATGTGAAAGTACTATCTAAACTGCACAGGAGTGGAAACAATTCCCCACACTCCTCTGCTTTTCCACTTGGTGAAGCACCATCTCAATGATCCCACATACACTACAACAGTTTATTCACTTAGAACTGATTAAAACGATCCACTGGTAATCAAGAGGCAGATGCAGCTCCCTGAAGGAGAAGGGGGAGGCACGCTCAGGCATCACTTTTGGAAGCCTCCATAATACGCAGGCACAAATGGACTTTAACTGCCCTTGTGCCTTATATGAGAGCAACCAAATTTCTATCCGAGACTGGTTAGTAACAGCTTGGGAATACAAATCCCCTTTTCATCCACACAGTGATGAAGCATCCTTCTCCATCCACCCACCAGCATGAGCATCAGGCTGAAAGGATGAGAAGACACGGCCAAATAGGCTGTTTTGAGACATTATGCCACGGCAGTACTTCCCAGAAAATCAGAAGTACACTAGCAGTTTTCCTAGTATTTCCACAGAGAGAAACAGGTTTTCTAACAGGATTTCTAACTTTCTGTTTAAGCTCCACTGTGGGTTGGAGCCTTAATTCTGGAAAAAACCCCAACCTGTGCAAAGCATGAATCAACCTTCCAGATCTCCAAGGCAATAATATCTGCACTACACACCAGCGGGAAAGCAGATGATATGAGTAAAAGGTTCTTGAAATTCATACAAATCACCAGTGGAAAGGGAATGGGAATTTAGGAGGGACACGTTCCCTCCCAGGGGATGTTCTTCAGACCTTGCTTCGTTTGGTTGCCTCAGGCTCATTTAACTACTCGTCTTTAATGTCACCCTTGTAATGATGCTGTTGGTACTTAGACAGCCCTTCCACCAAGGCTCCTTCAATCTTGAATTTACAGAATTTACATCAGCTTTCCTCTCCTTAACGGCATACAGGCAGAAAGAAACTCAGTGAAAGGCAGAGAATAGAGACAATCAAAACTTAAACATTTGACAGAGAAAGACAGAGAAAGTAAGCTAGAGTAATGTAAAAGCTACATACCCACAAATGCACCAATAAATTATAACTGCAGATTTTGTCTCATTTTTATTCACTTACCAAAGGAATACCTGCAAAACAAAATGAAGAAAAAGCAAAAAAATTAAAATCTCACTTGATCAATTGTAGGAACTTATGTCTCATATCAGTTTTATTTCAAACTTCACACATTCTGAGTTTCAAAACACATCTGTCAAGGAGTACGGAAACATGCCTGAACCATCTAACATGCAACTCAAAGGCACTAAATGGTAAATTGCCGCTGCCTGGAAATGCAAGAGCAGCAAATTTCCTTGTTTCTGGGTAAATTAAGCTGTTATTTAGCACTCCAAGGAATTGGCCACCGGTCTTTCAATAAAGATGCTAAAGCAGCACACCCAGAAGAGACAGCGCAGTCCCAAATCACAACAGACATGGGCTTCACAAAGGGCTGCTCCTCACCTTCCCTCTGACTCGAGAGACTCCTCCGAGCGAGCAATCTAGCTGATGGCGCAGCTTAACCAGGTTCTGCGGCAAGATTATTCATTTACGGTTTCTAAAGCACGCTAAGCCCTTCCCAGGCAGAAGGCAACGACCGATGCTGTTAAAAACACGGAGCTTAACGCACACTTCTGCGCTGGTGAAGCCCACGCTGCTGAAAAGCAAGAACTAACTTCTTGCTGGTGAACAAGCCATCGGGTTTTTCTCCCTTTTGAGTGCAGAAGAGTCTAGCCCCAGGCCATCTGCTCGCGGAGCGCCGTGTACTAGATGCTCATCAACCCCCAGCGTCTCAGGAAATGCGATGCACGCTCGCTGTACCATTTCCATGGGGATTTTTGCCACAAGCTGGTGCAACATTTAATGTGTTTTTTTAAGCTGGTCTTCTCATTGAAACGGCCTTTAGCCTTAGCTACAACATAGTGAATTTCTGTAAGATTACCCGTTCCGATTAAAAGCAAAACTCAAAGGTTATCAAGTTTGAAGATGTCCCTCTTCAACAGACAGCTTGTGTTTACTCCCATTATGGCTTCAATCCCACATTGGAGCTTTATTATTTGTATTTGCAGCAGCATATTGCATTACACTAACCAAAAAACCAAAAAAACAACAAAAAACAAACAACCCCAGAACACCCCCCCCAAAAAACATACTCCAGGCTTTTAAAGATTTTCAGAAAGATTTGCTTTCACTGGAAATGTCCTAAATAGGTGTGCAAATTTTATACTCACACGCATGCAGTTTGAATAGTTCAACAATCGATCAATCTAAATATTTTACTACATATTTATGTACAATTTCATACGTGACTACTGATGTATAGAGAGCAGTAACTCTAAAATGCACAAGCTTTAACTTTCTTAATAGAAGTGGCTCTTTACAAAGATATCTGTCATTAAGGGCAACCTAACTTTGCTATTCTCCACCACAGTTGTGGTGCAGTTAAACATAAACTTGTACGAATTATTCTTATTTCTTGGCAGAAGTTAAGAACCCCCTGAGGCTCATTTAAAACACACACACAGAGACATACACAAAATGAGGAATTAATAAAATATTGTATTCTTCTGAACCACATTAAGTTTTCTGACGTGTGTCTGTTGCTGATTACATCAATCTAGGCTCCATAACTTGTCATGTGATGACAGGCAAACACTTGTGAATTTATTTCTCTGAAGAAGCCCGCGATACAAATGCCAAGGAAACCAAACCAAATGGCCCACTCCAAAAACATAAAAGCAGCAGGGCTTCTTGCAGGGATGGTTTGGGTTTTTTTATAGGTACAAACAGGCAGGTACCCAGTTCCTGCCAACTTCAGGTTGTAGTTTGGAATCTAATTACCATTCTTCCTTCGCAAGGTCCTCTTCCTCGCTTACATGCTGTCAACAGAAGTGTTTATTAAACAAAAAACTGATTTTTTCCCCTACTGCCTGCCTTGGCACTTGAAACATTACCGACAGATAACGACAAATGAAAACATGGATTTGATTTTGCGGGTTTGGGGTTTTTTGGCAAATTTCAACAGAGTAGCTTTTGATCGGCACATTGTCAAAACCAGAAATTTTGCAAATTCAAAGTATACTCCATTCGGATTTTCTAAATCAAATTAAAACGTGATGTCATTTCTGTTTTCACGTTGGAGAAACAACGTAATTAGCCATGACTTGTCATTAGAGGCAAATTCACCTCACACTCAGAAGACTGTAAGTATCAGCAAGGAAATACAAGCATCATCAAATATTTGGGTTAAATTGTTTTCACCGCATTGTCATGCTGATTAATTCTAGCTCAAGTATATTCCTGGAAAGCAAAAATTGATGGCAAAACAGTCTAAAATGCGCGAGCACCACTGTTGCAAATGAACAGCGAGCTCCCAAGCCAACCTGGCAGAAAACACCACCTTTTCTGCATAACATCTTTTTTTCCTGCATGCAAAGCGTGCGGGATGATGGTTTCTATCGGCTCAAGGAGGAGGAAACACCGATCGGCCAGACTTAACCAACAAATTTACATTCCTTCTCAGCTCACCTACCCTATAGCTACACAGATTATTTAATGCAAGAGTTATAAGAGGACTCCCTGTCCCAGACAAGTCTGTAAAACACAGCAAAATTCCGAAGCAAGTCCATTAAGAAATAGTATTAGAACACAGACAGGAACGCTTATCTTTACATCTATTGATGCTTACTAGGAAAATACATCAGTATTTATAATCCAAAAAAAAAGAAAAAAAAAAACAGTCCTACCCACCGACCACAACTGCTTATCTTTACATCTATTGATGCTTATTAGGAAAATACATCCGTATTTATAATCAAAAAAAAAAGAAAAAAAAACAGTCCTACCCACCGACCACAACCTGGCAGTGCCCAACACCACCAGATCCTTCCAATTAAACAAATTTCCACCGGCAGGATAATTCCCTGCTGCATCCCTAATCCGCAGCTGGTGTTAACAGCTCCTCTCACTGCTCTCCATGGAGAGCATCCTCTATGGGAAGTGAACCCAGATGTCAACTTTCATCTCCATTATGAATCTCTCTTTATTCTCTGGGCTGTATAACTTGGGATGGGGGGAAAAGGTATTTGGGTAGCACAGACACACTTTCTACTCTTCATCAGGATACGGCTCCAAAATCTGCTGTACCCAGGTTTCCACAGCAGCACCTCTCCGCAGTGGAAACCAGGTAGAAGCTACGCCATGAGTTATCTCTTCCCTGTGATATCTTGACTACCCCTTTCTTCCCTCTAGTACCCAGACAGGGAGAGAAGGAAGCAGGAGACCATCTCCCCAGGAGACAGCAGCAGCCTCAGACCCCAGCAGTCAATCAAATGGACACACAACTGGCAGAGCAAAGAGCCTCCTTCCAAAATGTCAGTAACAGGGAAAGCTGGAGGAACTGCCTGCCATAAATCCAGGCATTGCATTCGGGGAGAAAAAAAAAGGGCTAAGCCATGGATATATAGAAAATGTGGGAAATCCACCTGTCCCAAGACACGACTGACTGCGCGAGAATCACCTCTGACAGAGCCTGTCTAAGCAGCGATGGAGACTCCATCTCCCTCTCCAGGTATTCAGCCTAGTGCTCCTCCGTATGTACATTCAGAAGGCTTTTCCTTATGTCCAACCCATACCTTCCTTTCCACCACGTAAACCAAACAGCTTCTTGTCCTATCCACATGGAGACAGCAAACCCAGAGAACGGCCGATTTCCATCCTCTCTGCTGCTTTCATGCACTTGAGTATCTTTGTCATCTTTCTCAGTTTTCCTTTCTCTCAGCTAACCAAGCTCAGCTCTTTCAGCTTTTCACCACAACAAGCCACTTTCTTCCCTGCCGCCGGGGCTTGCGCCTCTTCTCTGCACGGCGTGGGGCCGTGGCCACTTCCAGCACAACGTGACAACCAGACACGAGATGCTGGCTGACACCTCCCCAGCTCCAAGAAGCGGAAAACCTCATCCATGGCTGTCTTGCACATGACGCTCCTAAAAGTTACTGGTTTTCGTGCCTGAAAGCTTGTTTGGCGAACCACAATATACCAACCAAATTAAAGCTGTAAACACTTCAGGACAAAAATAAAACATCTTTTCAATCTGTGTGTATACATACACATATATACACACACACACAGAGTACCCAACACCTGGGGATACACTTCCTCAGCACGCTGCCTCAAAACAAAGCAGCCAGTTGGCAAACATCACTTGCAAGAGACCGAGAGTCCATGAAAACGAGATGACAGAATTAGTCTCGTGCACCATTAATTTCAGAACATCATTAACTTAAAAGTGTGGGGGTAAGAAACATTTTTGACAGCTGGTTTCAGTTGCTGCCAAGCCTTTAGTATTGCACAGCGGTCGTGGGGGGAGGAAATAAGCTAGAATGGTAGTAAATGAAACCACTCGTCTGGTTTCTGGATTCACTTTATTGTGGTCACAGATCTCTAAAAACTGGGATTCTGCGCTCTGTAATTACAACATCGACATTTAAATGGAAGGAACAGGGATAACATTAAGAAAAAAAAAATGCTTGAGGATGAGGATCACTCCTCAGTTTGCACATGGCGCTGGGAAAGCTCCTGAGCGGAGCTGGAGCCAACCAGCGGATGAGGAACGGGACGGCTGCCTCCTGGAGCCTCCTCACACCCGTGCCCCAGCCCAAGCAGCGGCGACGTGGTCGGGCACCGCCGCACGGCTCTCGCCGCGGCCGGGCAAGCGGCACTCCCAGGCAGCCAGCCATCGAAGCTCCGCTTTAGCTTCCCCTTGCAAGGCAGGGAACCAGGCTTGGTTAAGGAACCAAATGTGAATTACCCAGCTAAGCCCCAACACTCACCAACTGTTCTGTCCGTGCTCATCTCCAAAGCTAAAGACTATGACAAGCCCTGGCTTACGCGACTGTGGAATTTGCCAAACTCAAGGGAAGACTGCTTTGGTTAAATCCTTCCAGTGCCAAAAGCAGATGCTGAAACGGCAGTCTCGTGAATCCTGCTCCGAACTGCTCCTCGAGCTGGACGGTGTGTCCGAGGCGGGAAAGGTGAGAATGGGAGCCGGCAGCAGGACGGTGACCGCAGCAGCGCCGCAGCTCCTCCGCCCTGC